GGAATGAGACGATGCGTCCATCTGCCCTTTACTGCGACATCCCACAGTTGCTGCCATCGGTCAATGCTGTTCTGCCGTTCTTCTAATCTCAACTTTTCAGGACTCAGTTGTTGATGTCTTCTATGGTAAATTGTCCATCTTTCCTCTGCTAAGACTAAGAGAGACACAGTTCCTGAAATGACGCACACTGCTTCCGCCGATATTGTGCGAAATGCGCAAGCAATTCTTATATCACTGAGACGATATAATGGCCCTGCCATTCTCCTCGATTTTTGAGATTTAAGAGCATCAGCCCATATGGAGATACCATATGTCAGCACAGAAGTAACAACTGACGATAGTAATATCCTTCTGGTTTGTTTAGGACCTCCAATATTAGGCATCAGTCGAGCAAGTTTCGTCCTAACTATTGACGCCTTAGCACTAACGTGTTCCACTTGTTGATTGAAATTCAAACGAGCATCAAGCATTACGCCAAGGCAACAGATGTGAGGTTTTGACGTGATCTCAAGATTTCCTATCTTTAGCTTGATGGTCTCTATTGTTTTTCTACTAGTGATAAGAACAGCTTCACTTTTTTGTTGTGGGAATTGGAGATTCATTGTTCCCATCCACCGATTAATTTTTTTGAATGTAATATCGAATAGACTTACGATGTCATCAATTTGTTTGGAGACAACTGCTATGGCAACATCGTCTGCATATGCTACTAGTTTCACACATTCTGGAATCTCTAGTTTCAATAGGCCATCATACATAATATTCCACAGCAAAGGGCCTAGAACAGAGCCCTGCAGCACACCTCCTGTTATATTATATTCTTCTGTACCATCGCGTGAATCGTACATTAGAATTCTGTCTGTAAAGTAGCTTGCGACTATATTGCAGAGGTATGCTGGCACGTTCTTGTCACGGAGTGCATTCATAATTCAATCCCAGTTTGCTGAATTCAAAGCATTTTTTATATCCAATCTAGCTACAAGGCAGTACTTTTTCGCACCCCCCTTCCATTTGGTTCCAGCAATTGCTTCCTTGGCGGTATTAACTACCAAGTTTATAGCATCGATAGTTGATCGCCCTTTGCGAAAACCATACTGATTGTCTGCTAGGAATGGGTCAACTATTGCATCTATTCTTTGGTGAATTATTCTTTCAGAAATTTTACCCGCTGTATCCAGCATGCATATTGGACGGTAGGATGATGGTTCATCTGGTGTTTTTTTTCCTTTGGGAATAAGCTCTAATCTTTGCTGTTTCCATTTTCGCGGAAAAACCCCTTGTTTTAGGCATGTATTATATGCATTAAGAAACATTGTCGGAGATGTCATAATTGATATTTTTAAGGCAATATTAGGAATTCCATCTAAACCCGGTGCCTTACTATTTCCAACGCGATGACAAGCTTCCATCAGTTCTTGCAGTGTTATAGGTGGAATATCATTCAGTCCAACCTGTGTTACCTGGTAGTTTAAATTGGGTTGTCGTGGAAACAAAGTAGTTACTATTTTATTCAATAGTCGTGGGCAAGTCGGTGAAGGTATTGGCTGGCTTTTGAGGCGAGACATTACAGTCTTATAAGGTCTTTCTCATGGGTTTTCCTCGACTTTATCCAGAAGTTCTTTCCAGAACCTACCTTTACTATTTTTGATAGCTTTATTTAGTTGCCGACGTGCTAGTTTATATTCCACTACCAGTTGTGCAGAATTAGTAAGACTATATTCTCGCTGAGAGATCCTTCTTTTCTTTAGGCACTCTTTACGAAGAGAGCTGATTTCTTCAGTCCACCAGTGCACAGATTGCCTTTGATTCATGCCATGCTTACGAGTCATACTGATATCACAGGCTTCGGTTATTCTCTCCATCAGCTCTCTAGTATGCTCATCTGCGTGTTCTGAAATTATTTCGATATGGTGTAAGTAAATGTTTGTAAAGAGGGTAAGCTGCATCACCGACTACATGAGATTCGTTCGGGAATTTATGTTTATCGTTGAGGTAATTATTCACTTTTGTTAGACGTAATACTCGTGCGTCATGTACAGAACCAACATGAATAAATTTACATTGAGCATCACAAATAGCGCAAAAATCCTTAAAAACAGACGCCCCATATGTATAAATATATTTAACTTAAATAAACAACTTAATTATCTATTTTCTAGTTTTTAAGAAGTTGCTTGATCCAAGTCTTTGGTCAGATGATATATATCCGAAGAAGTTGTCTTTGACAGAAGATAGAAACAATTGGAGTATTCAAAAGATTCGGGCGCACATGTTTGCAGGCAGTCCTAATGAAACAACATCGGGTAAAAGTTTCAATTATTTTATAAAACAGTATTGTAAGATATTAGATTGTTAGATATTAATTATTAGATATGTACTCATGTTTCTTGGCCTCTGATCAACCCAGATAGATGGGCAGGTTTCAAAGAGCAAAATGCATCCATTTTTTATATTATTTTCACCTAAAACTGAAGCAAATGTTTTGTACTTTTTAAATTATAACAAAAGATTTTGAATCAGATAATTGAATAATTGAGATGATTTTAAACGCCCATGGATCATTTCATAAACATCTATCAACAAAATATAACAATTGCTCTATAAGTGAACACTGCGCTCAAATCAGGGGCGTAGCGAGCCTTGGCGGGGCCCGGTATTAGAATTTGTTTGGGGGGCTCCCTCAAAAAGATTTTTTTTTACAAAATATAAAAATTCATAAAATTCAAAGAATATCTATTTATTATTCTTATTATTTATGTATCTCATTTTCTCTCATTTTCTGAATTTTTCACAAATGTTTCCAGATATATATTCACTTTCTTTGATTTTCTTTGAAAAATTAAATTATTTAATGATCTTTAAATTATATAAAGAATCTGTCACTAAGAACGTACAGGTCAATTTCAAACGATTAGTTTCATTTTTAAACATTTCTTCTAGCAGTTGCGATTTTAATTGGAGGAGCCAAGATAAAAATGCACGTTGTTATTTCGTTGAAAAACTGGATGCAACCATCACATTTCTTAGATTTTTAAATTCAAACCTATTTTTAGAGCCATCAATTGGTCATGATCTTATGAGATTTTTTTATAGTATTTCTTTACAGTAATTCAGTCGACAGATTTTTGGAAACGTTTATTAATTCACCATTTCAAAAAGACAAATGTTACTATTTACTTCGCAATTTTTTTGAAATCTTTGTTTGGTTTGTGAAATTACAGGTCCAAAATTCTCTCATCTTGTGATAACTCATCATAATAACTTGCAATAACTCGTCATAATAACGCTTCATTATCTTTTGTCTTTTGTTCTTTGAAATAGTTATTGCAATCCATCTGGATTAGTTTTGTAGATTTGTTGACAAGAATATTAGCTTATCAAATGTGCAAAAACTTTATTGAATAAATTGATTGCTAGAGCTTGCAGAAATATTGCAGCAAATTTCAATTCTCTTAAAACGTTAGCTTACACGTTGAAGTTCAATAAGGCTCGATAATAAAAGTAAATGCAAACTACGGTAAAATTATTCATTTTTTAAATATTGTTTTGCTTTCTGATTGTGCTTGTTAGGGGCCCTCCTGGCTCGGAGGCCCCGTATTTTTGATACGGCGGTAGTTACGCCCCTGGATAATATAATGACTAGTAATAATTTAATAAATGACAGACCGGAAAGTATAAATAAAAAGTTAATAGCAGATTTAATTGAAGAGGCAAATTCAAATCAAACTAATGATAAAAATTCAGTAGTAAATGAAAACAATGTCATTTGTTTTTATTCGAATTGCTAGATTCCGCTTCAACTTTCATTACACTTGTTGACTGTATGGGAGTATTAATTATTAAGTTTGTTGATGCACTAGTTAAATTTGCAGATTGTTTACGTAACTGTTCTGAAATGAATTCAGAACTAGTATGTGAATCGTCGGCGATTACGGCGGACTCAATAATTAAATTCTTCATTGCGAACCCCAAATGAGTTGTTGGATTTAGAGAAAACTATTGCTTCTAAACTTGTATTTACAATATATAAGTTACAGAAATAAAAATAGAAGATATTTATTGTTATTGTTATTATTTCTCAAATGATATATTAATACGAAGGATTTAAGGATACTGCACTGGGCAATGAATCTGGTCAAGAACACCAATGTAATTGATTTAATAAGTATTTTATTCAAGTATGGATCTAAGTGGTAATCAGCACAATAATCAACATCAAATAAAATGATACTGTTCTAAATTCATTCTAAACATTACTCGATTATTAACTTCCCGAAGGAGAAGTTTGTTTTCATCAAAAAATCCGATTCTCGACGATTTTATGTTTTCTCGACATTTCTAGCCATTCTATATCGAATGCGACCCAATTTGGAAAAAGTAGGTTTGTGTGTGTGAACAGATTTTGTGCCATCAGTGCCGTAAATGTAAATCGACGTTTTTTTCCAAAACGATCGTTGCGTCAACACATGCAAAAAGCTTTTTGAATCATTTAATTTGGATGTTTATTTCTCTCAAAAACTGTTATTTTTCAAACATTTAGCTCGGTATCTCAGAAACGGCTGGATCTGCCTTTGCCAAAAACTAATCAGCACATCTCTCTAACAATAGGAATCGTATGTTTTTGAACCATTCAAATCGGTTGATCCGTGCGCTCGAAAACGTGGGCGAAAAATTGTATCCATACATATACACAAACATCGATTTTTTCTGAGGTATGCCAAAATATTCAGAAACCTTCAAAACTACCCTACGGGAAGTTAAAAAATATAATTTATTTTAATATAAACACTATTTACAGATTTACAATTGTCGACATATTATATTAGCCAAGCTCAATATAATGCAAGGAGAGATTTCTGTACTAGCATTTCACTCCGCAAAAGATGAACTTGAATCTGGCGCCATTGACATTTTGCCTCCGTTGGCAGACCTGCGTCTAGTCGAGTGAGTGCATCTATTAATCTGTGGTCGTGTTCAAGTCACGTGTTCTGTGTGTTCATTAGTTGCTTCGTGCTGCGCATTAGTTTCAATGTTTTTGTGTTTTAGTGTTTATTTCTATTTTATTCAAATTCAGTGCTTTGGTAGACTAATAAGAATAGAAGAATAATCAAATAGCATAAATTGGCGATAAAATTGTTTGCAGATTTCTGGTTAGTATTTTGATGAATTGTTAATTCAATACGTGAAACAAAAACAAAGAATTTGACAGCATTCTATCTCGTATTCGATGTGATTTTATATGTGAAATATTCGTTAAAAATGCTCGTGCTTTCCATGCTTTTGTTGCAACACGCTGTTGATTTAATATAAAACACAATGTTTGTTTTATTTATGATTATTATGTACATACGCACGTACTTTATATATTGATATCATTTCCAATCTCATAGAAACGCTATGACTAATGATGCATATTCTATTTTAACACTGTAGTTGACATTAATTTTCTTTCCTTTTGATGCTATTTTAAATTATTATTTTTATTTCTATATATGAATTACTATAATATTCTTTACTTTCAGGTGTCGGTGAAGAAATTTTATTCAATAATAAGGGAGAGCCATGCAAAAGTTTTGCCGAACAAAATCTTCCTACATTTTATAGCCATGCAAGGTGCACTGAGTAATAATTTTTACCAAGTAAGTACTTGCAAGTTTTTTTATTGCGATGGATATAATCCTGATTAGTATTATCAAAAATACTTAGTAATAGCAAATATGTTTTACGAAACACTTAAAGGCACATGCTGCCAGAATTCCATTAATGGAATTCTAGATGTTTGATCTGCTTTTATTGTCGGATCTTGCAAGTAAAAAGTATGTCTATATATTTATTAACAGTTATCAGCAAATGTTGTCTGTATAATCATGAGTTTAGCTGTTAGTTCAAAATATGGTTCATTTTATTGATGACACGCTGTCGATAATTTCAATTATTAAATTTGATATTAACTTAATATGGAACAGATTAAACTTATATAGCATTGTTCATGTTTCTTGGTATAATTCTCTTATTTGTTTGTCATTTTACTATCCTCAATTTTTAATTTTAGAACAATTTTATATTTTCTCATGTTAAAAAGTAGACCTCACATGAACATTATGATAAGATGGTACTTTGCTTTCTGGTCACCCCATAAAATTAATATTAACAAAAACAACACATTTTCTCAATGACCTTTCAAATTTTTGATACCTGACACATTTATGAAAATATTTTCAATTAAAGACATACTTTTGCACTGTAAAAATTGTTTTAGGAAAAATTTGTTTGGTGCTATAGAATTTAGCGGAAGCTGTCATTGAATATTTTTATTTTTTCATTACTTTATATATATTTATAATATTAACGCACACACATATAAATAAATTGGCTGAATTTTTAAAAATTATAATAGATGCTCCATTGAGTGCACAACTAATCTAGCTGAGGTATTTATCGAGGGCTGAGTCTGGTCTTTACCGAGATTGATCTATCTTCAAATCAAATGGAACTTGGAATTGAAATTGAAGTGCATTAACAGATACTCATTGTAATAAGTTTATAATAATGATTTCTTTAAATGTTTCAAAACAAAACATTATCAAATTTGAACTTGATATTTAATACTTGTTGGTCGCCACCAGAATGAAACCCATAAATCATTATTGGCTGAGCTTGGGAACTTATCCTATGTTAACAATGCTGGCAAATTGTTTTTCTCTATAAATTAAGTAGTGCACTTGTATTTAACATTGCAATATTTTTTAATCACAAAATTTATTATTAAATTACCCTGGTGACAATAACATCAATTCCAAATACAAATTGCTATCTTCTATTCAAACAATCAATGAAATAATCAATGAACATTTTTATATATATAGATACGTGATATCATCAATAAAATCATGAACATCTTCAAAAATTTCAGTTTTCGTCTTTATGCCTTCATTCAGTGGAACTAAAATTAAATTTAAAAATTTAAGTATGTGAAATAATGCTAGTATGTGACCTGTATAATAATTTTAACTGTGTTTTAATTTTTCATGTAATAATTGAAAATGATTTTAATAGTGAAAATCAATGAATGATACTTAATCTTGCATATGTGAACATAAATATAAATATGTATTTATGCGTACCTAAATTCTTCTGGAAGAAAAATATTGATATTTTATTTTCAAAGATAAGTAATACCGTATTGCATCATTACTAAACACATTTCAGCTTTGGTATGGGATTTAGGGGAAGCGCTTTATCTTTACATATAGAAACAGAATAACTTATTAAAATTACAGTTTGTTGTACACTACAGCACTGTTATTTTTATGCATACTCTCAGTTGACCAAACAAATAAATCGCATTCATAGAGCATCCGCGCATACATAGATTGAATAAAATACAAAATGCCTAGTGCTGCATTCTATTATTCCCATTAATGTTTTTGAGGTAAGAAACATAACATATCATCAAAGCCATGGTTGGTTGCCACCAGTGATACAATCAGTCCCGTTCTTGTGATATTGAACTTCAACAATTTTTGCTAGTCTTCTATAGCCTTGGATTTAAGTTCCAATCCATGCTGCATATTTACCTTTGCTTGGTCAGGATCTCTGTTGTTTCAAAAAAAACATTGATTATAAATTCAATACTCCTATAGTCTTGGGTTCGAGTTCCAACCCAGAAACTCAACTGAATCTTTGTCATTATTCTTTCCAATTTTCTGCGGCACAAACGATCATTTGGTTTAAATAATTTACATTTTTCGAGAATTGATTTAGAAGGACGTCGTAAATTTTATCTGAACGAATTGATTGGCCAATGGTATCTCTGAAATTCAAAAAAAGCATTAATTCCCAGTAAACAAAATTACATCTAAACAATATGAAAACAACATCGCCCCTCCTGCTGATATCGCCACGCCGCAGTCGTTTTTGTCGCATAGAACGTTAAACGAGCGCCAAGTGATGTTACATTTGCGATTTTTGTCGCGACATTTGTGATTTTTTTAACACATTTAATAGCATGTTGAACTGATGTTGACAAAACATGAAAACAACGTAATTGTGTATATTAATCCAATATTCTTTTCTGGAGCCGTACATGCATAAATTAATGCTTTAGAATATTTAATTGACTAATAGTCCATTTATTCAGAAAATAAATATTTATTATGTAATATCGTTACAAATTTAATTTTATTTTATTTAATTCTGTTATGTTTACAAAGTTTCCATATCAATTTATGAATTAAGTTATAAATTTACAAAGAACTTAATTTTTAATAGTACTATCTAAGATTTACATTGAGTAATATTGAACAATTTAGTAAACAGGTGACAAATAATGATCAAACCATTTCCAGTAAGACATTTTTTGGCATAAACGACTATATATTTATGCTGAGATAATGTTACTCCTGAAAAATTATAAAATCTGTAATGCAAGAATATAACGAGTAGATTAATAATTTTGTATATATATATATATATATATATATATATATATATATATATATATATTTAAATGTTTTATACGTCTAATAAAATATTTTTTCTTCGCGGTAGTGAAGACCTCTCATATCTTTGCCGGGCATATCTTAACCAAGTAGATACATAATGTTTCAAAACTTCGTCTGATAATTTGGGGTAGATCTCAAATAGAACATCTGTTTCAAATATAAGTTATTATAATGATTATATATATATATATATATATATATATATATATATATATATATATATATAGAGAGAGAGAGAGAGAGAGAGAGACAGATAATTACTTACCTCTAAGTAATACAATTATTCTTGTTTCATGAAGTGGCACATATAGCCACATAGCCAAACCATGAACACTTCATGCCAACTTCATTGGTAAAAGTTTTCCTACAAAAACTAATTATGCGTATAGCAGGGTCTCCCCCTAATCTCAATATAAGGGTTTTCTGAAATAATCTTTAACATTAAATTAATATAAGCAATAATATGGACATAAGAAGTAGGCATTTATAGTACGAAACTTACAAATTCTGGGCATAATTTAATATCGGTTTTAAGCCGCTCCTCTAGCAACTTTAATTCTCCTATACTTTTTACTGGCAAAAGGTTATTAAGTTCATTTTCTTTTGTCAGATCAAAAGATATGATATTCTTGTCTTTTTTAATGCTTTTTAAGATACAAGCTAAATTACTGTTCATCAGGATCATGCCCTTGTCTATCCTCATTAACATTTGTATTATTATTTCTGTAATATCAGCTTATTAATATATTTTATCAAATGTGCAATATTAAACTAACCATCATTCCTAGCTGAGAAATTTGTTTTCCCAACCGGCTCCACTGATGCTCCCTCTTCTGTATGGAGGTCTTCCTCCTCGCCTCCAGATGCAACAGCCATAGTGATATCTGCCTCCTGCCCTGTAAACCCCAAAGCATCCTGTCCCGCAGAGCCTAAAGCCTCCTCCTCCACATACATCAAATACTCCTCTTCAGCATACGCCAAATCCTCCTCCTCTGCATACGCCAAATCCTCCTCCTCTGCATACGCCAAATCCTCCTCCTCTGCATAGGCCAAATCCTCCTCCTCGGCACACACCAAATCCTCTTGCCCTGTAGATCCTGAAGCTTCCTCCTTGCAGAATGCTGTTTGAAGCAGTAAATAATTAGAAATTTATATTTTGATTGCATTTGAAAATTTAATGTTTACTTTACCTGGCACACTGACTCCGAAATTTTGTTTAACAAATTTTAAATTGAAACCATCACTGGCACTGACATTGAATTGACAATGTTAGTTAAATTTCATTGTTAGTGTAATACCTTCATAATCGGAATCATTGATATCCGAAGAACAAGCAACCACCTTTCTCTTTCTCTGTCCTCTACCCAATTTCTTCTCAATTTCTTCATTTGACGTATAATCCAGGTCCTTCGCATGTCTCCTCGCTGATTCATATGTATCTGAAACAAATATGTGTAACATTACCACTAAACACTTCGGAGCATATTCAAAACTTTATCATTACCATAAAAACCATGGAATTTCACCGCTCTGTATTTCCAATCCGGATGTACGGCAGCCCTTCGCTTCATGAGCAAGGAAACATTTTTTATGCGCCTAGGTGGCCACCACGCTTTCTTGATACAATCGGTATCATTACCCTCGATTATCAACCAATTAGTCGGTATCTCCGAAGGATGTTTACCCATGTGCACCACGGCATATGGTTTCATAAAGCTACAAAAAAACAATGCCTATGTCAATAAATAAATGATTTACTTACGGAGGAGCCATTTTCTTCGAGTTTGACGAATAACTTACAATATAGCAAATAACAACCCTTACAACAACTGACACAAAATGAACTTCACAAAAAAGCACATTTATTATTATTACACGACACTCCATGTTTAGCCCCACTTTTTGTTTACTAACAAGTCTTTAAAACTTAACGCCATCCAACAACTTTCCGGTATATATCGCAAACTTCACTTCATACATTTTATTATAATGTTATAAATTTATCCTTTGTTTTAATATTGCAATAACACATAATAAAATATATTTTGAAATATATATTTTATTTTCAAATAAACCAAAACTAGAATTAGCAACAATTTCTAGAAGAAAATCGAACTTTCGTTTACTTGCTTTCAAAAGTCCCGCCATCATACTGTGATTGTCAAATGCAAAAACACATTTACGGCAATACCAAATAATAAATATGGCGTTGATTAATTAAAAAGCAATTTTAACTCTTTTTTTTGAATTAGATCTCAAGCCCAAGAACATCAGTTTATTCGAGGCATTACGTTTAATTTTTGTTTAAAAGTGTTAAAATGGCGCCTATCCGAAACAAACGCGAAGGAGGTAAGCATTTTCTTAACCTAAGTGCAAGTAGGCAGAGTGCAATTTCTAATGAAGCCAAGAAGACGTTATCTTAATAATGAAGTTGAGAATTCCATAGCTGAGAAGTCGAGTAGATCCATTAGTAGTACTAATGGAAGTGATGAAGACTCCGCATACAAGAACCCTATACTTTGTGTGAAATATACAATTTTACATATAGAATTCTATACAGTAACGTAAAGAGCTTTCATCCCTTTTATGTAATACAATTTTAAAGCCACTCTTGCTGGTTGTAAAACTTTACATGAGCCGATATACACTATTACATTTTAGACATTAAAATTTATATAAATGAATATTATTTAATGCCAAAGTGATATAACTTGCTGTTAGTTTATTTACAGAAAATCTGCATAAAAACACATTTTGTTTAAATATTTTATGGAGTGATTCATATTATACAAAATATGTGATATTTTCTTCGTTAAAGATTTTTTCAAAATATTTATTAAATTATAAGTAAAACATATTATCCGAAACTTCATGTTTATAGATTTCTCTAATCATAATTTTATTTATAAACATTCCGCATTCATACTTTTACAGAGTCGGGCTTTATTTTACCATTTGTTGCTTGTATAAATTCACATTGATGATCGTTCGAAGTTGTCAGCATGCATACTGGTATTTTATCTGTTCATTTAATTTTTTTTATTTTGCTGCGATTTTCCAAGCTTATCGATTCACCACGTTTTTGTTTGTGTTTAGCCTAGCGTGGCAAGTTTTTTCTTGTAATTTTTACTGTACCACACATAAATGTTGTATTATCCAATAGATGTTGACCTAAAGCGACACTAGTGTAAAAACTATCAATAAATAGTGTGCGCCCCTCAAATAACAAACCATTACGTAATTTCATTACCACATCTTGAGAATGACATATTTTGATTACTGTACTGTTTTTACCGGCATAAATTTCGACATATTAT